TAACAATTCCGAAAAACCATATCGTTGCGCATTACCGGGTTGTTGTAAGAGTTATAAAAACATCAATGGCCTTCAATATCATATCGCCAATGCGAAAGGTTCGTCTGGGCATCAATGCGACAATAATGAGGAAGGTTCCTCTGAAACAGTCGTCAAACCGCATAAATGTCAAGTAGCTGGTTGTAAGAATAGTTATAGAACTCCTAATGGATTGCAATATCACCAAAAACACATTCATGGAAAGGAAAGCGATAAATACCGTGGAACTCAAGTGACGGCTCCTTCGAGTACTCAAAGATTTGATTCGGAGCCTTCAACATTGGACGTTACCGGTCCGATGGATGATACCTCTAATAATAATGATATGCAACATTGGACGTCACCAGATGGATTTATACCATCTGAATCACATGAATCAAACCCACCTTCATTCACAGTTCCTGATGCCATCTCTGTGGGAAATTTATTAGATTTGAATACACAACATTTAGATGAACATCATATTATGGGGAATGATTCAAGTGACCCATCTGCTAACGGAATGGGTACGCTTTTATCACTTTCTACTTCTGGCGCACATTTCCGTGATCAAAATTTTGGCAATCATTTTCCACGGTATAAATGTAACGTTAAAGGATGTGAACAAATATTTAGCAAGCCAATGTTACTTTCCGATCATACACGTATCGAACATCCAAATACACAAATGGAGTCAATACCAGCTGGAAGACGTAAAGGATCCAAACGGTCGGCTCTTTCCCGACAATAACGCTATCAAGTTGGTACTGACTTTTAAAGATCTAACAGATCTATAAGTGCAGAATTTCAATTTAGCTTCATTCAAAGATGTGTTAAGGTAAAATTTTTTTTTTTTTTTTAAACAAAAAACAAAAGAAAAAAAGTAAAAATGAGGCATGGGCGGCAAAGACAGTTTGGATTTTATATGCACACTTGCATTTTGTATATATTTTTATGTCGCTTTTATGATACTTTTTCCCCTTGGCTTCCTTTTATAAATAATACTTTTTTTTTTTACATTTTTGGATATATCGATTTATATGGTACTTTATGTAGATTGAAGAATAAAATTTTTATGCTTCAATGTTTATTGGTCTTTTTAATAAAGATTTCTAATGTATTTGTTGGAGACAAGTCTAATCAGTTTAATCAGTTAAATAAGAACAC